AATCTCCTGATTGTGCCTGGGAAGCTCTATCGCACCCCTACCTATCCCCTGCCCTAGCCAGAATGGTCCAGAGGTTACTTGTCTTGGTTTGGGGTCAAAATATGTTTAGAAAGATTTAGGCTTTTCACTGAAAATGAAATCACTGCCCCTCTGATTTCAGCCTCACGTTTACGCATTATGAAACTTTGTGAAAATGTAACCTATCCGTTAATTTCAGGAAGGTCAGGATCATTTCAGTGCCTGGAGGAATCAGGCGTTTCCCCGAGAAAGAGAGGTGTGCTCAAGCAGCATTTATCCACTAAAACCTAGAGGCTCCAACCAGACATCAAGTTTCTACTGGTTCCTGACAGTTTGTTCTCTATACAAGCACCATTTCATCATGGGCTGAAGATGATAGAAATGAAGAAGTGCAAATGAATAATATACCAAGATTAGGTAGAGGCCTAATTCTTCATTTGTGTAAATGGAAAATGAAGTTCCGATGCCTTATCTGAGTATTTTCCCCCCCTCTCTCCCGAATCCCATTCTTGTCCTTTCTCCAGGCTTGAGGGCTTCCAGACCCCATCTCCTCCTCCCTCCTATTCAAACCTGCTCTCTGGACATCTTTAGATCTTTATACAGATTTAAGAGAAGGTACCTTCACTTGGTGGTCAGTGGCTTTGAAACTTGACCACCTCCTTTAGGGACCCAAAGACATTTTATCTTCTGTAAAAATATCATAAAAGCATTTTCCGGGCACAGGATCCCATGGAGGCCCCTGAAGTCACTTCAGGGCGGGTTGTCACCTACCGGAATGACTAACTGACTTGCAGAGAGGGCGGGGCAGTAGATGGGTTTGGGAAGCTGAGACTGGGCAGGTGGGTTACAGGAAAGTTGGCTTTAGAAATGTGTTACTTACCTATGTATATTTGCCTGTTGTGAAAATTAAGAATTGTATTTTTTTTTCTGGATGGAAGTAGTTTTTTTCCACTGAAAATCTAAATGTAATTTTATTGACTCTCAATGGGATCTGAGAAAAGGCTTAGATTTTAAAGTCCCTATTTATGACAGGGTAAATGGTAACAGATAAAATGCTATGTATTACTTTACATTTCAGTTTCATGACTTTGCCTCAACATTTAGCTATTTGTGAAACTAAATAAAGCTGGAAGCCTCACCTTGAACTATCACACTAATTAGAATTAAAATGATATGACAAGAGGTGATCGTACCATTTTTTTATGGCTTACCATTTATATAGGATGTATCATTTTCCTCTGCGGCTACCAATTCTCTTCTTTTTGGCCTTATTAATAAACTACCCAGTTCTGCCTGTGAGAATAAGAATGTTTATCATACCCCATTTTTCAATGAAGAAACGTGTGGATTGTTTTCATTATGTTAATTAGCAGGGCCCTGAGGAAAAATGACATATACTATAGGATATAAGGTACTATACAGGCACATGCTACCAGGAAAAAAAGAGAGAACAGTCTGAAGCTTAGGTGTAGCGTCCCCATGATGGTTCATTGCAGGCAACCCATCTGCACAACGCGGGGACAGGCACCACAAAAAGGAGAGGAGATTAGGCCCTCAGGACTCTGCTGACGTAGTTCCACAAGCCAACGCTTCCCTCCTTGGCCCATTCTGAAATCTTATAATCCCTTTCCACTCCACATGTGCTCCTAAGTAACAGAACTTAAAAGCAAACAAACAAACGAGCCATACAAAATTAACATTACAAAAATAAATTTACTTCAAGTCTGAAACAGTGAAGAACAAGTGTACAGATAACTACTATAAGAGCAAAAATTAGAACATGAAAAATGATTTTAAGATAGATGGGGCATTCTTCCAGCAATACTTGGAATTTACACATAAACATATTTTTAAAGATATTTCTCTCACATTCACAAAAGACAAAAGCAGTATTTGCAACAGTTATAAATGCAACAGCTATTGAAAGCATCCAATTTCTTTCTAAAATCATTTGATTAAAATTTACACAAGTGTTGGTTACCCAATTCCATTTCCCAAAGATATGACACAGAATTAGCTGACATTCATTTGACATATTACAGACTACTTTAATTCAAAATACAGAAAAATTTTCAATTCATTTTGCATTTTGTTATATCTTATTTTATCCTTTTTCTAATCAACAAGGAAAAATACACATAACATATGTGTAGCAACATTTCAGAAATAAAGTATTCCAATTTTTATCTATAATTTGTTCAGAACTTCAGGAACTCAACAAGCACGTGATTATTTTAAACAACACAGACAGTTTAAAAATTAAAAAAATTATGTAGAGGA